ATGTTTCATCTTAGCCATGGATCCTAAAATCTTATTAATTTGGCGTATGGAGGGAGGGGGCCGCTCATGAAGGACGCGGTGGAACGAGGCGACGGCGTCGCGGATGCTGTATGGAATTGGGGAATGAGAATGAAGGAAGGAGTTGAGAGTGAAGGAAGAAGGGAAAGAGAGAAGGAAGGAGTACCTTGCGGCAGCGGAAGATAGCATCTCGAAATCAGATTGAAAGAGGACTATCTCCAATGCTTCAATGCTTCTTCAGTTCACCGGCTTGAAAACGCATGCGTGAAGTTTGCCATCTGAATTCCCCTTTGTTTGGCCTGCCAAGAGCAGCCAACAAGAGAGTTTCTTCGTTAATGGCATCAACGGGTTCAAGAATTCTTCTCCTCCTAATAGGATAACACCCGTATCACTATCAAATAAATATTAAAATTTGATGTGTTGTCTTCAACTTAAATGCAATTTTTTTAATTACCCCTTTGGTTTGGATTGAAGTTGAATTATGTATAATCATAATTTTTAAAAGTGACATTAAGTGAAGATAATATTGATAAGTTATAATCATTGTTGATGTACTACCTTCATTTTAAATTATAGAACACTTTTAAAAAAAAAATTCATTCTAAAATATAAAACACTTTAGGCAGATTAATATTTCATTAAATGTAACAATTTTAACATTATTCTTTCTCTTTTAATAATTAATTTTTATTTTTTTAATATATTAAATAATGAGTATTTTTAAAAGTTTATATTTTTGTTTTGAAAAGATAAAGTTGTTAAGTGTATTTAATGAAATTTATTGGTATGTAAGATTTTTTTTTAAAGTGTCTTATAATTTGGGACGGTAGGAGTACTTTTTTAAAAAGGTGATTATAAAAAAATTAATTTTGTTTGGATTGCATTAATTAGAATACATTTGGATATATTATTATTACATAAAGGCCATGATTTTTATAAATTTGCTTTTTTTTTATAATTATAATCAAATATCATTTAATAAAAATTCAATGGTGATTTTCTGAATACAGAAGCACCTTCTGCTAGCTTCTACTCAACAAGTGATGAAAAGTCCTAAATTACAATTGGTTGAGGTTTTTAAAAAATTATTCAAATAATTAAAATAAGCTTCAAAATCTTTTATATAGATTTAAACAAGATTACATAGGTTCTTACTTGCCACTAATGTTGGCTCTAAGATGATTTTGAAAACATGATTAATGACCTCAATCAACACAACTTTCTTTTCTTCACGGAAGATTTACTCGTGAAGGTTGAAGGTATCAAACCTGAGGCTGTTTAGGGAAAAGAAAAACTATTGATGAGCAGTTTGTTCATCCGCTAGTAAGTCTAAGAACCAATGATTTCACCCATCCCGGCAAGGGTCAGGATTTGAAATGACCGTTGGGTTTAGCATTTTACGTAAGAGTCATGCTTTTGCACGAGATTAATTAGTTGGTTAGGAAGTTAGTGGATCGAAATCACAAATAATACTTACTCCGTTAAAAAATATGAAATATTTTTAATTGAATCTGATTTTTTTAATAAAATAATAATTATTTATTTTTTAATTAACTCTATCTTTTTATATTTATCTCTATTTAATAGAATATTTTACCTTAAAATAAATATAAAGTAATTTATTTAATAGGGATATTTAAAAAAATAATAATTATATCTTAAAAAATTAAAAATATTTTATATTTTTTAATATCTAACTTCTCAAAAAATACTTTAGAAACTTAAGGAGCAAATTTTTTCAAACAAAGTCTAAATTCTCAATTGAAAGGTAAAATTTTGTCCCCAAAAAATCAATAAAGCGAGCATTTTTTCCTTTGTCGCAATAATTTTTCAAAGATGTTTATGTAAAATTTGAAAGGTTAGACTTGTAATTAGTTATGTTCTTATAATAATTAACATTATCTTTCATGACTATACATATTTTATATTTAATTCAGTTTTTAGTATGATAAATCAAATTTTAATTTTTCATGAGTTTTACAACACATTTAAATTTATTTAATCTTCTTGATAGGAACAAGATTAACTAACGCTAAATGAAAATAATTATTTTATTAAGAAAAAATGGTAATAAAATTTTTTTGAATTATGTAAATGATATTTTGATTCCTCAAAATGTTATAATTTTTTTAAAATTTTTAGAGACTTTTCTGTTATTAAGAAATTAATGTAAAAAAATTAAATTTCTCTTAATTGAAATAAAAAAATATATTTTGTAACAAAAAATTATTCTATCTAAAATCTTAAAGGAAATTCAATTTTACGTATCATATATTGTGTTTCAATTCAATACAACTTATTAAAGAATTCAAAAGTTATTATAAATTCATAATTAGACGTTAAATAAATGTTACATCAAGAATGTATTAAAATTTAAAGCATTTTCATTTGGAATGTGAACCAATTTTCTCAAAACTTTTCTCGCTGATTATCTCTCTATTCATTTACAGCCCATACGAGAATGAAGTCCTATTTTGTTTTTTTGTTTTTTGTTTTCATATTAAACATAGATACTTATTTTTCTTCAGGCGGAAAATATTTGAGCTAAAGTACACTCTTTAACTTTACACAAAATTTTAATTTAATTTCTCAATTTTATAAAATATATTTTTGATCACTTAAAACTAACACTACTTTTCATTCGCAAATAATAATAATAATAATAATAATCCTACATTTAACTTTTAAATACCAAAAAAATATTCTCAAATGTTAATAAACTAAGTTTAGTTTTTTTAAAATAATAATAATTGAAAAAAAATAATCATTTTAAACTAATGGTGTTAGACTTAGAAAATTAAAAAAATACTTTATAAAATTAAGGGGTTAAATTAAAACTTTGTATAAAATTAAAGCATAAAAAATATACTTTAACCAAATATTTATATCATATATTTGATGAAGGCATTATAAAGTAACCATCCTGCATTTGAATTAAACATCGTTAATAAAGTTGATGTAAGCAAAGCAATCATTTGAAACTTTTCAGAACAAATTTGTATATATAAATTATACAATGAAAAAAAATTGTTTTTTTTTCTTATCATGAATCATCATGTCGATGAAATCTTGCTGGAGTATGAAATTACATGCATAGATTTTGAAAATTTTCATGGTACACCACATTAATGGTTTTTGTGAACGGCTGATAATTAAACAAATGCCAAAGATAAACATAAACATTAAAAGAAAAGGGCGCATAACTAACTGAAAATTATGAACTAGTAACCTAAAATATTTCTATAGCCAAGCAAGATAGTCAACCTAAATAACATCTCAGGGTACTGCGAGTTCAAACATAAATTCTAGCAAGGAAATTAGTTAGGCTCAACTGGACGCGTAATAGATTGGGTATATTCATAATTGTTAAACTTTTGAGTTGATCCTACGAGTTTAATACTTTCATATTTTCAGTTTACAAAATCATGTCAAATTACTTATAAACTCAGACTAAATACAAACTCGCTTAAACTTACAAGTTTATCTTTGAGTTTATCATTTTTATGTTTTTAACTTATAAAATTATATCAACTAATGTATAAGCTCAAACTAGATACAAGTTTGGTTAAACTTGTTAAACTCATTAATTTTTTTTTTGAGTTGAGCGAATTAAGTATATACTATAAAAAATTTAATTCATAAAAGTTATAAAACCTGATTCAAAGAAAAAATTGAAATGCAAAAACTAATATTAATAAAAAAGAAACAAAAACACAAAAATAAGTTCCTCTATTTTAAAAATTTTTTATATCTTGTATATAATAATTTAGCAATGTATACGGGTTTAATTTCAATAATCTATATTTTTAATGTATTTAAATTAAATTACAATCCTATTTTAATGACTATATGTTAATAGAGATAAACTCTTACGAGTTTATGATTTGAGTTTGTCATACAAGTTTATATTTTTATCACAAATTTACTTAAATTTGCGAATTTAATAACCTTGGTATATTCTGTATCAGTATGTTTATTTATAGCTATAGAATTCCCAAAATGGTTGTTACTGCCTATAATTAAAGATTCCTCAGTGAGATGCTGATGCATATGTCGCAACTAGACATAAGAGGAACATTGTAAGATTTGTTTTAAAAATGTCATCATCAGAATATGCAAGTCCTTGAAGTGAGAGGAAGAATCATATATAACCAGAAACTCAAAAGTAGCCTAATGTTACCAAAATTTCACAAAACCCGCTTCTGGTCCAATCTTGGAATCAGATAACCGTTCAGGAAGAAGATAAGCCATCCCCTGACCACTATTTAAAAAGCAATAAGAAAATGATTGGCACAAGATCTCAATAAAAAAGTCAACACAGTATCCTTCTTTGACTTCTAACCAGTGGTTAAGAGAAAATATTGCTCACATATATCAGAAAGCTAAAAACATGTAGGTCTTGTATGTTTAGAAACTGAATTGACTCAAAACAGAGATTTTCTTCTATAAATAAGAGCCAAAAAAATAAAGTTATAAAACCAACACTTTTCTACCCAAAAAACAAAGTGATGATTTATTTCACTGACAAAGAATTCGAGTTAACTTCACAAAGATATCTCTATAATGTTGGGCTTGTGGCTTTTTTTTTTTTTTTTACGTGTACCACTCTTTATTGTTTTTTTATCTATTTTAGGTTGCTGCAAACAAAATACTCCTTTTGATTTTTATTGTAGGACAATTTCAGCCATTTCAGACATTTTAAGAAAAGTTAGTTTTTTTTTTCTTGATATTATAAAAAAATGAGATATACTTTCATTTTTACCCATATTTTAAATAATGATATAGCTACATTAAATACTTTCATGCTAATTAAAAAGGGGATAAAATTTAAAAAAGTGATTTAAATATTTCAAGGTGTCCTACATTTTTGGATCAAAAATAACTTTTAGAAGGTGTCCTACAAATAGGATTGGATAGAGTATGATGTAGGGTTTGATGTTTTATCATTCTCCATTGTTCTTACCTATTCCACAGATGCAATATAAAAGTAAGCATAAACATTGTCAAGCATTAATAGAAAAAAGTGTTAACAATTATTTTCGTACGACTTTTGTAACATGGTAAGGAAAGATTTGAAGAAAGTAACCACATAATCAGATGAGCAACTCATAGTTTAACTCAATAACATTTAACTTGACAGGAAGCCGCATACCAAAGCTAGCCAGAGTGACATCAATAAGTCCACCATCACAACCAGCTGCAACAACTTGTCCTCTTGGGTATCATAGCCTCTACCCATGTTTATCTAAGAAGTATGATGTTGACTATACAGAAGTTTAGAAGCTGAAGTTCCAATGAGGCATACTTTATTGTCAAATCCATGAAAATATAAAAGATGCTACCATGAAATTTAGGAGGATGGAAAGAACAACATATACCAATCAAAAGAAGATATCCTGCAACCATAAGTGTCCGTAAATTCTTCGGACAAAATATAAAAATTGTCATTTAAGGTCCATCAAAATTTAGTCTTGATGACTAATGAGGACTGGTTTTTAAAGCAGCTGAGCTGTGCTAAATAATATGTAACATGATTATTCTTTTCCATGAAATTATTAGCTGCAAAATGAAAAATGACAAGTATAGTTTCTCTTCTAATGATAAAAGATTAAAAACTTTTTCATAATGATATTCTAGAGCAATCTATCCTAGTAGTTTAAAAGACCATGAAATCTCTTGACAATTATCATATCAATGACCATGTGCTCATTTGTAAAGGTGAATGAACGTTATTCAATATAAAAAGGCCATCAAAGAAGTGAAATTAATACTGTGACATTTCAACTTTTTTGTTGTAGTCTCTCAGAAAATAAGAACGAAAGAATTATAGGCCACTGCAAGAATACAATGGGATTGAACCAAATGGGCTAAAGATCAGATAATATCTTATCATGCAACAGAAACGCAGTATTATTTTATACAAGTATTTTAAAATAACATAGACACATTAATTTCAGTTACCGTTATTACCTGCTTATAATCGTCTTCGATTCAGCCTTGAGCCCCTCATTTAGAAGCAATCAATCAAGTACCCCTAACATGATGCTTGGGTGCATGCCTTCATATCTTTTAATTTCCATACATCAAATAAAAATTTATTTGGCAAGAACAAAAAATCTAGGTCTTGTTCTTTTATCTGGAACCAAGTTCTGCATCAGAAAAAAACTTACTACACCAATCAGCACCATAGAGAGCAGCCATGGTAGAGACATGCCATCATTGGGCAGAAAAGAATGATGTACAAACTCCTCACAACTATTTAAATTGCTTTTCATTCAACAGAAGATTGGCATAAAGCATGAAAATAGAAGCAATCCGTCAGATGCTTCATTCTACATGAGGAATGAGATCCAACAACCAATAAAGGCACACATTTTCTGATGCTTGTATAGAATAGAATACAGCCACTTATTGAAGAAAAATTTGTCCGTTTATGGAGGTAGAGTACAATGCATAAAACGAACTGATGGCAACAAACTTTGCCATTCCATCCAAATAAATCAGCTAAGAAATAAAAGAGATTAAATAAAAAGCTCAAGACTTATAGTTTTCACAAATTTATACTCAAGACTCATGGTTTTCATAATACTTTCACAGCATATCTTGCTACAAAGAAAATAGAAAGGAAATGGCAAAAACAGGGGTCTTGCATGCCAGAAATTCTTTTGCACGCATCTAAAGAAAAGAAACAGTGCATTAGCATGGAACAAAACAATAATTTACCACCATCAACAATTTACAGCAAGTCAAACATTCTGCTGCAAGCAAGGCCAAAACATATATTCTCACAAAAACCAATTAAATGTATTTGAAATTTGCTAGACTTATTTGTCAATTAGTTCCCAAACACAATTCTCAAATTATTTATGAGGAATGCATAACATCTCAGCCAAACCTGCATGCCATGATACTTGATGCGATCAGAAACATGATACTTGACTACATAAACCATACGTAACCTCTAAAAAAAGTCAACCGCAATAAGCTTAAATTCCTTCTCAACTTTATTTGTAACCAAATGTAAGCCTAAGTACTCATAAGGTTAAAATTCAAACTTATAAACTTGTTATAAGCATGGGTTAACAGTATATGATAAAGTCTTACGAGGAATCTGTTGCTGATTACTAAACTACCATTGTTAATATCAAAAGGCAGGCTCTAAATAGCTGATACAAACCATAAAGGCATGAACATCATGTTGTTTTACACTGAACAAGCTTCTTTGCCCAAAAAAAAAAAAAAATCACCACAACGGTAGCAATTCATTAAGCTATATTCTCGTAAAACCAGTCAATTAATTGTAAAAATTCACTACAAGACGTACAATCCTTTGCTAGCCATCCATGCTAGCTAAAGATGAATATCCGGGGAATGTGAATTTGAGCCACAGTATCTCACCTTGTTTTATTTCTTCAACAGGCATCTATCAATCATTGTATGCAGAAGCTTCACTGCCTTGTCGTTCTCATTGTTTTCAAGAAGATATCGAATATTAATTTCAAAAGTTACGGAATCAGGGAGGCAATTGTTCTCTTCCATTTTATCAAGGCCTTGGCTTCATCCAACAAACCCTGTTTCAAAGACCATGAATTATAGCAATATATGTGTGCACATGTAGCTGATAACCTTTGCCCAAAAGATATTGAAATATCTCCCACACATCATTTAATCTGCCATCTTTGTACAATCCATCAATAAGTATGGTGTAGGTCTTCACATTAGGCTGAAATCCTTGATTGACAATTTTCCTAAATAAAGTAACGGCCTTGCTGGGATGTCTCCTCTAGCAAAATGCATCTAACAAAATACAATAAGTGATTCAATTAGAGTGAAGACCCCTGCCATACATCTCATAAATAATATCTTGCGCCCATGAGATTCTTTCTGATTTGAGCATGCAATCAATAACAGAACTATAAGTTACAACATTAGGAACCAAATTTCTGTGATGTAATTCCTTAAGGTATGTTTGGATTGATGTATTTGAATTTGGATTTTGCATTTAAAATACCACATTTCAAATTCATGTATAGTGTAAAAAAAATTCAAAGGAAGAAGATATACAAGCTGAGATTCAAAGTCAGAATGAAAAATTGAGGCTCATGAGTTTAACTCTATTTTTCACTTAGCGAGAGACAAGAATGTAAGATAAGAGAAGAGGTGAGAGTGAAAGAGGCAATAACAGTGAAAACATGAAGCAAACAAGAGAGGTTGAGGGAGCTTAACTTTCAAATAACTAGGGTGTAGAGGAAATTTAAAATTATAATATAATTATAATAGGACATGGATTTGGACTTGGATTTAGAGCAAATCTAAATACATAGATATTTATGCATTAGAATGGGGGATTTTGTACAAATGCAAATCTCCATTCATCCAAACACAACATAAAGAGATTCATGGTGCATTCATCTTCAATTGATTTTGGCTATATCATCATCCTAATAGAAGCATGTGATACTTTAATACATAATAACAGTATACTTTGGCCAAAAAAGAAAATACATATAACAGTACACAGCCTCTAAATAGCCGCTCACAATAAGAACTGAAATTCCTCATCAATCTGCAAACTACTTCTGTTTTTCATTCCTCTAACATAACCATCTTATTCCTTGTTCTGCTATTTTGTTTTATCACTGGGAATTTTCACCGTGCAACTCAAGAAGCTTGGTACTTTTGCATTTTACATCCCTATTTTATTTACAACTGAATATCAGCCTATGCATACCTAATGTTAAAATTTAAACTTATAAACTCATTATATGCATGGGATCAAGGATACGATACAACATTAGTGGGAAGGGATTGAAGAATTATTTCAATTTTGCTGATACAAGCCATGATGGCATGAACTTACAGTTGTTCTAACTTGAACATGCTTCAAAAAATTTCACTACGGTTTGAAATATTTAATAAACTATATGCTTGTAAAAACAGTCATTTAGTTTTGTAGTTCAACTTTTCAACACAAAATATTTAATATACAAGCCTTTGCTGGCATTCATGCTAGTTTAAGCAGAAATATACGTGCAATTCGAATTTGAGCTTCAGTAGCTCACCATGATTTTTTCTTCAACAGGCCTCTGTCAATCATTTTACGTAGAAGCTTCACTGCATTGTCATTCTCATTGTTTTCAACAAGATATCGAATAATAATTTCAAGAGTTATGGAATTAGGGAGGCAATTGTTCTCTTCCATTCTATCAAGCAAGGCTTTGGCTTGATCAAGCAGTCCATGTTTGCAAAGACCGTGAATCATAGCAGTGTATGTATGCACATGTAGTTGATAACCTTTGGCCAGAAGATATTGAAAAGTCTCCCACGCATCACTCAATCTACCACCTTTGCACAGGCCATCAATAAGTATAGTGTAGGTCTTCACATCAGGCTGAAATCCTTGATTGACAATTTTCCTAAATAATGTGACTGCCTTGTCCAGATGTCCCCCCTTGCAAAATGCATCTAACAAGATATTGTAAGTGAATATATCAGGGTGAATACCCCTTTCATGCATCTCATAAATAACTTCTTGCGCCCGTGAGATTCTTTGTGATTTCAGCAAGCCATCAATAACAGAATTATAAGTTACAACATCAGGAACTATATTTCTGTGATGCAATTGTTTAAATAAATCCATGGCTTCGTCCACCATTTTCATCTTAAAGTATGCATTGATCAAAATATTATAACTAGAAAGTTCAGGTTCCAAACCAATTTTTCTCATTCTAATCAAAACTTCTGTATCCTCAATGATATTGTTTATTGAACACCAATCATCCATCAAGGCAGTGTAGGTAACAATATTAGGTTTTTGATCACTCTTCACCATCCTAGCAACCGCAGCTTGAGCTTCTATGATCCTTCCTTGTTTACATAATGCATCAACTAGGATGTTAAAGGTACGAACATCTGGTTGGATGTCTTTCGATATCATTTCAATGAGTACTTGCTTTGCCTCTTGCCACTTTTCCATGCTGCAAAAACAGTGGATTAGACTATTGTATGTAACCACATCTGGGGATATCCCATGCTTAGTCATTTCATGACACAAACCACGTGCCTCAGTGAGCAATCCATCTTTACAAAGTGCATCAATGATTGTGCTGTAGGCAACTACATCAGGTTTCACTGACTTTTTTTTCATGATTTGCAACAATTTAACGGCGGATCTTCTTTTCCCCGATTTACATAATCCATTGATCAACGTGTTATAAGTAAAGTGGTCTAAATGAAATCCTTTTGCCATTATGTCATCATAGAAATCTAGTGCCTTACCAACGTTTTGATTTAAACACAGTCCTTTTACGAGTGTATTCACAGTTACCACATCTGGATAATATCCCATCTTGAAAATTTTACCCAAAACAGAGAATGCAGAATCCATCCGACCAACGTGGCAGTAGCAGTTCGTCAAGATGTTCAGGGTAAATAAATCCGGCGTGAATCCGTTCAACTCAGATTGTGCAAAAAGTGGGATAGCGACGGCGTAATGTTTCATCTTAGCCATAGATCCTAAAATCTTGTTAATTTGGAGTATGGAGGGAGGAGGCCGCTCATGAAGGAGGCGGTGGAACGAGGCGACGGCGTCAGGGATGCTGTATGGATTTGGGGAATGGGAATGAAGATAACATGTGAGAGTGAAGAAAGAAGGGAAAGAGGGAAGGAAGGTAGAAGCAGAAAAGAGAAGGAATTTGGCGGGGGAGTAACTTGTAGCAGCCGAAGATAGCATCTTGAGCTCAGATTCGAAGAGGACCGCCCACGATGATGCTTGAAACTTATCACCACAGAAGCACAAACTGGTAACGCTGTAAAGCTTTCACGAACCAAACGGGAGGCCCAAGGCTAAGCGGAGGACCGAGGCTATAAAATGGGACTTTTCTATTTTGAGAAAATTGGGCCTTTCCGTATTATTCACGATGTTTTAAAAATTAAATCAATGATGGAATCGATAATGAATATATTAATTTAAGGTTTAATGATCGTATTATAGTTGAACCAATCATAATTAATTAAATACATTTGTAATTGTATACATTAAATATTAGATTAATAATAAAATTTTATAAAATAATAGTTCACAAATATTAAATTTATAAGATGAGATTAAAAATTTTTACCTTATTATGATATATAATGCTTTTATCACATAATATTGACTAGGAAAAATTTAAGAAATTACAGGTTAATGATAATAAAAAAATTTATAATGAGGTTCATTAACAAAAAAGAAAAGGAAAAGATAAGAGGTTAAGATATTGGCTTGTTTTTTAATTTGGCAAAGATAATTATTGATGTTCAAAAATATTGTAAACTTACTTAATATTTGAAAACACACGTTTATCATCAACCTACTTCTACATGCATTCTGATTTCTTATTGGTGTATTTTTTTTTTTTTACAATAAGGTATTTGTTTTGTATCACTCTTCCCATTTTCTCTTCAGATTCTCCTCAAAACATCCCCCTGGTCAATTATTCTATTTTCATTTCAAATTTTTAAAATCCATCCGTCTCTTCTGAATGAATTTAATAATTATTAATTAATAATAATTAATATTAATAATTTTTTTCATCTTATACGAGAAATGGCCATATTGATTAACCAAAGGCATAACCTTCTATACTACATATCAATTTTTCCTTTCATTAATATCCACATTCTTTAGAAAATTTGAATTTTTCTATTGACTTTTTTTGAACAGGCATTAAAAATTGGTATTTTTTCATGACAACTATCTGCTCCCAATATACTCTGTGGGTTGGCAAATATATTGACTTATCATTGAATGTTGCGATATTCATCCTTGCCTTCTTATAAGCTTATTATGTAATATATAAAACCTTAGCTCATTTGTTATTATTTCCATTCTCGTGATCATATCTCTATCAACTTCTTTCAGTCATTGTACTCTTTCAAAATATTCTATCTGAATGTCATTTGGAGAATATGATTTTACCCAGGACATCAGTGATTCGCGAGAAACCTAGTGTATTGTTGCTAGGATAGTACGTAAGTGGTCTCTAAAGCAGAAGGTGCCGCCCTTCCACGTCTGGAATATATCATTTCTCCTACTAGATGAGAAGGTTTTATAAATGACCTTTAACATCCTTTATGTTATTCATTCATAAATTTTTTAAACTGAACTTTTGTCTGCTTTCCATTGCACTAAAATGTAAAAGAAATGTTAAATATTACATTGACTACTTTTTTCACTTCCTTTATTCAGGGTGATGCCATTCAGGCTTTCTTTCATTCAAAACAACTGGTTCCATCCTTTGAAAATGAATTAATTGAAGGAAAAATTTATCTCATTGAGAACTTTAAAGTTTTACCAAATGCAGAGAAGTCTAAAGCTTCCAGTCATCCATGGAAACTTAACTTTCATGCAGATACATTTGCTCAGAAGCATGATGCAAATATTCTTGAGCATTATTTTGATTTTACTCTGACCAATGAGGTTATCCATTGAGCTGCCATATCCAAAGACAAGAAGAAATTCGAATACTTCCTTGGTCTGATTTCTATGTTTTTTTCTCATTATGTTATGCGTATCATTATCCTCAATATAACAACGTTGTGTTGTTTATTACAGATGTTGTCAGCTTCTTGCAAGGTTTTGGCTCCATTCAAGATAATAAGTTTGGGGATGAGAACGTAGAAATCAAGAGAACACGATTACACTTCCCCCTCAAGAACACAATTCACTTATCTCTCCCCGACAATCCCACATCTTGATCATTCTATTTTTATCTTTAATCTATTACGTTACTTTCCTCTCTAGTAACTAAGTGGCCCCTAAGTTATGTTTATAACTGATAATATCAGTGATAGAAGACAGCTGAACATTTTTCTATTTGCCAGGCCTTGAGCATTGAAGTGTAGTTTCCTTAGACGTCTTAACAGCAAAACACAGATTATCCCTTTAACGACTGGAATATACCTTAATTAATCGTATCTACAATGAATCGAAAAAAAAGTGCAAAATAGCTTTCGAGATTTTCGTACAATATTAACATAAAGTTCATGTTATTCACTGATCCCCACTAGGATGAGGGGAAGGATTTATCAAGATTAGTAGAGCTCATACAGCTTCTTGTTTCTGTGTCTGTCTTAATATGATTTTTTTCACAGCCTTTTTCATTCCCGCCTGCATCGTAAGTGAAGAAAACTTCATCCAACTGTCGTTCAATCTCACGAGTAGCTCAAAGCGTTTTCGAAGAATTTCCTAAGCAAAAGCTCATCCTAGTGAGCATCAACATGACAGGATGCCTGAAACAATCAGCAAATAATTGTCAAATACATAGACGGATTATGTAAAGACTTGGAAGAAACAAATTGCTTAGGCAGAAGCAAAGACGCTATAATGCCCAAGTAACTTCAATGTAATGCATGGATTGATGCCTTGAAAAGTTTTAATCTATTTAAACCCTATATCAAAACTAAATTCTGTTATAGAAGTTAAAAAAAAAAAAAAAAAACTGTTCACTTTTCTTTGGTTCTTCCTATGCTGTTTCAGTTAAATATATGGGAACTACCTTCCGAGTTGGAAAAATATGCTTAAAACATATAAGCATGTTTTCCAGATGCGCGTAATCAACTGTCAAACTGCTTGATAGGAAAACTGAGAATTTCTCATCAAGAAAACCAAGCTATCTATATTCTTGCATCCTTCAAAAGCTCATAATAAAGACATCTCATTTCTCTAATATGCCATGATTTCAGCAATCAGCAGGTAAAATCAATGAAACTCAGCAATTATCAGATAATGAACTTCCTTCTCAGTCAGCCAAGAGCTACTGATTGATATTCCCCAACCTCCTAAGCGTTACTATTGTCCTATTATATTGTTTCATTACAAGAAAACTTCACCTTCTAATCAATAAAACTGATCCAATTGTAATTTCCAACTTCTAAGGTGTACTCATAACCAAAATACAGCCTATATACATGATCAGCACCAAAATTTAGACTTAAAACTCCCAAGAAGCAATGGTTCAAATATATGGTACAGTTTTTCAGGAAGTAATCACTTGATACCATTACAAAACATGTTTAACACAATCAAGCAAACACTCGTGAATAGTTTCAATTTTACATATGTAAGCCACAATGCAGATAATTTACAAGTTGCTCTATCATCAAACGTGCATGTATCTCACCTTGTATTATTTCTCCAACAGGCTATTATCAATCATTCTAGAGAGAAGCTTCACTGCTTTGTCATTCTCATTATTTTCAAGAAGATATCAAACAATAATTTCAAGAGTAATGGAATCAGGGAGCCAATTGTTCTCTTCCATTATATCAAGCAAGGCATTGGCTTCATTTAGCAAACCCTGTTTCAAAGATCAGGAACTATATAGCAGTATATGTGTGCACATGTAGTTGATAACCTTTGGCCAAAAGATATTCAAATATCTCCCACACATCATTTAATCTACCATCTTTGTACAATCCATCAATAAGTATGGTGTAAGCCTTCACATTATGCTTAAATCCTTGATTGACGATCAATATATCCTTAATAGTAGTTCCACCAAGCCAAGGCTTGAAAAAATGGCTTCATGGCTATGGACACATTTTACTGTTCATAGAGCCAAGAAATATTTATTGGGCTTTATGTAATGGTAGCTTAATCTCGGGCATTGTGCACACAGGTTTATCATTTTTTTTTAATTTTTTTTCCCTTCTATCACTAGCTTTCATCCTTCTCTCATCTTTTTTATTCCTCTTCTTTTGCGTTTGCGCATGTTGCTCGCTTTTTCTCCCCCCTCCACTAATAATTCACCACCTCTATTATCTTCTTTAGAAGATGACTCTCTGATTCTTCCTTTCTTGTAGTTCTCCCGATCAAATCAGTTTAGTTGTTAGCAATATGAGCACAAGGCAGGAGTCCATATGAGAATGAAGTATGTAATGCCACTTTGATATTACCAGGACAATACACTTACGCACCGTTATGATAACCAAGATTAATTAAAATCCCAAATAAAAGTTATCACAATCTAAGGGTTTAAAAGTAATTAGTTTAAAACATTGAAATTCCAAAAAAAATCTTTTAAAATATTATTTGTGCTCAAACTATAGTTGAAAATGAGTTAGATCAAGTAACAAAAGTATGAAAACACAATTTGCACTTAAAAAGCACACTTAGAGCAAAATTGAAAAATCTAAAATTTGCACCGTCTGTTGTGAGCAAACCTAATCCACCATGGCGAATGGCACAAAGAGCCATGCCCTCACTAGCTCATGCGCCGCAACGCACTCCTACTATTATGATAGTACCCCGGACTAACTTTTGGAGTACGCCATTTCATTATCCGACTTCCGATTTGAGTGGTTCAAATGTCTACATAAAGCTTTTTGAACCCTCTAGTTAATGGCACGATCACATTCAAATAGTCATCCGTTAAAAAGATGGACACCCGAATTCAAAATGATTTATTTTCACCTTAAAACACAATCAAGGGTGTCTAATTCACACCAACTAATGCCATTAGCCCCGGAATCACTTTGACCATCTTAAATGGACCACACACAACATACTTGACCAATTATATCACACAATTAATCATCTATACTCAAATTGGTCACCAAACCCTCAATTTTCAACAATATAACGAGGTGGATCAAATTCAACCTAAATATAGTTTTGGTCAATTCAACATATAAACCATTACGATTATATCACTTGTACTAATATCTTAGCCAAGCACACTCATTTAATCACAATCACAACAAGCTTAGGCTGAGATACATGCACATTCCATAAATCCTCATATATGTGATAACAAAACAATGTAATGCTCTTAAGTTAGCATA